TTAAATTGTCATTATATTCTTCTCATTGCTTCAAAAGAAATAGTCTGCCCAAAGATAGAAGACTATTAAAAACAAAAAAGACTTGTAATAACCTGCTTTGATCATTAAAAAAGAAAAAAGATTGAAATAGCAATGCTTTGAAAACTTGAGTTATAGTGGCTATAATTTGATATTTAGTGAAGAAAATTCCTGTTTAAAAGACTACAAAAGTAGGGGCGCCTGGGTGGCTCAGTCAGTTAAGCATCCAACTTTGGCTCAGGTCATGATCTCACAGTTCATCACTTGGAGCCACGTGTTGGGCTCTGTGCTGACAGCTCAGCGCCTGGAGCCTGCTTTGGATTCTGCGTCTCCCTCTGCCTCTGGCCCTTCTGTCCCCCCTTGCACTCTGTCTCTCTCTCTCAAAAATAAACATTTAAAAAAAATAAAAATAAAAAAAGACTACAAAAGTAATTTTATTGATAGTGAATACAGGCAATGTAGTTATTTTTCTAATTCAGCTTTCCACACATCTTTGAAGTGTATTATCAAGCTAGGAAAAAACAAAACAAACGAAACAAAACAAAACAAAACCCCAAAAGGTGTGGATTAGGGTTGGCTGGATATTTTATGTCTGTTTGAAAGTATTCATCTACCCAGACCACGTTTTGCTTGCTAAGGTCTATACCTAGATGCTACCTGTTTCAGGAGGGAAAATTTATCTAATCCCCGCAGGACAGCTTGTAAACAAGCAGTAACCCAGGACCTACTCAAGTACTTCATTTACAAGACAAAAAGACCACTTAAAACCTTTGACTGATATATGGGTCACTGTTGCTCACCCCTATCAAAAATGTATAAGAATATTTGACATGTTGGGGTGCTGAATGGCTCAGTCAGTTAAGCGTTGAACTCTTGATTCTGGCTCAGGTCATCATCTCACAGTTCGTGGGTTTGAGCCCCACATCGAACTCTTGATGGTGCAGAGCCTGCTTGAGATTCTCTCTCTCCTCCTCTCTCTCTCTACCCCTTCCCCACTCAAGCTTGCTTTCTCTCAAAAGAAATAAGTAACCTTAAAAGAATGTTTGACATGTCATAGTTGTAAGATGATTTTAAATATAAGTAATTAATACATTATTATTAAGAAAACTACATAGTAATACATAATTAAGTTACCCATATGTACATAATATACAACCATATACATGTATAATTAATACTAGTATTTTAAGTACTTTACATACATGAGCTCATTTTTTAAAATATATACTTATAGACAGATTACATTACTATTCCCATTTGAAGAATAAGAAATTAAAATTTACATAAAGTAATTACATAGAGAAATATAATTAAGCTATTGTGAGATTCAAAATCAGATTTTTCTGATTCCATAGTCAATTTTTATATTCACTACACTATGCTGAAATTATATAATCTGAATGATGACTCTATATATTCATTTTGGCATTTCCATGTAAACTAATTCGTCATACTTTAAAAAAAATCGGGTTTGCTTTTATCTGTTTAATGTTGAATTCTTAAGTATCTTCGGATTGCAGTTCAAGTAAGGCCATGTTTAGCATTTTTTCCATACCAGTACAATTCCATAAATGTAGGGTAATGTAGGGATGATAGAGATGAAATTATATAATAAACAAATTTGCATCTAAATTGGAATGATACTGTTTCCAAAGAAATGACATTTCCAGTTTTCAGAATAATAACTCACGGATTTTTTATATCATGTCACCAATACAACTGTTTATCAAACACTAGAATATGCATACATGGTACCATTCCCATCTCTTATTGTTTTAGTTTAACTTCTACACATTCAGTGGTAGAGATTCAAAAGTCTAGACAGATACCATAATGTAAAACAAAATGAAAATAAAAGTATTTGAGTAAATTTTTAGAGAATGATATATTAACATCATATTCAGATAAGACAAACTAATTTCATAAAAGGAGTCAGAAAGTTTTATTCTGATTTAAAAATCTGTGTTTGAATTACTTCTTTTCTTCATATTCTTTTTTCAAGTGGGGAAGATTAAATTGCTTTTGAAATTTATATACCCACACAATAACACAATTTAGGAAACAAAAGTTGAATTTTATGTATAATGACTTTGGATATAGTGATAATGATAAACCTTATAGTGAAGTATCTTCATTTATTTACTTTTTCAAAACTAATTGTACTTCATATGAAATAAAAGTTATTTTTATATTTTTATACTAGATATTTTATTTATTTTAATTTATTTTACTTTCTATAATTTATTTTTTTTATATTTTATATCCAAGTTAGTTAGCATATAGTACAACAATGATTTCAGGAGTAGATTCCTTAATGCTCCTTACCCATTTAGCCCAACCCCCCTCCCACAACCCCTCCAGTAACCCTCTGTTCTCCATATTTAAGAGTCTCTTATGTTTTGTCTTCCTCCCTGTTTTTATATTACTTTTGCTTCCCTTCCCTTATGTTCATCTGTTTGGTATCTTAAATTCCACATATGAGTGAAGTCATATGATATTTGTCTTTCTCTGACTAATTTCGCTTAGCATAATACCCTCTAGTTCCATCCACAGAGTTGCAAATGGCAAGATTTCATTCTTTTTGATTGCAAGTAATACTCCATTGTATGTATATATACCACATCTTCTTATATTTGATATTTTAAATAAATATTCTTTTTAAAGCTTCACAGTGTTTCACGAAACTCCAAGATGCAAAGCTGCATAATAAACTTATTTTCACTACTCACTATCACACGCCTAAAGAATTCAATAATGAGTGTTTTAAAAATTATTCTTCTTAGTAGTTTAGCAGTTTCTCCAAATAAACAGCTGGAGTTACTCCAGGATTTAGATTGTGGATTATGGATTAGAAAATTAAGAATTAATCAAAGAATATATAATAATCTTTGCTTCTAGTACATCTGTCTTTGGTAATTTACTAGAGGCCCTCTTGACCAGAGGTAGTTTGGTTAGAAGTAGTGAAAACATATGGAAATATTTCACGGAAATCATTTTCATGTATTTTAGGAGTTGATACTGTAATCAGCTTATGAAACACGGAGGCTATTATTACATATTTTAAAAGATGCAACATCAGGTTCAATGATTTATTTTGAAAAAAAGAACATATTATGCCTAAAATCCTAATTCAAAAACTAAACTGGACCCCAGTGAGTATGAATGTAGTGTATGGCAAAGAAAGGGGTGTATAGTCTGTATGTGGGGATTCAGGAGTAAGAGGGGAAGAGCTGTATGAAAAAGAGACGTAATCAACATGTACATATAACAAATATCTTTCAGGGCAGTAAATTTTGAGAATATTAATAACTGATATGTATTAACATACATCTTTTATTTATATTCTTATTTATATAACATATTTATATTTTTTCTCTTCTGTATTTCTTTTTTTAAATTTTTTAAAATTTATTTACTTTTTTATTTGAGAGAGAGAGAGAGAGAGCAGGGGAGAGGCAGAGAAGAGGGAGAGAGAGAGAATCCCAAGTAGGCTCTGCACTGTCAGCGCAGAGCCCAATGTGGAGCTCGAATTCACAAAATGTGAGATCATGACCTGAGCCGAAATCAAGAGTCAAACGCTTAACCAACTGAGCTACCCAGGCACCCCTCTTTTGTATTTCTGTGTATATTCTTATCACTTATCATGAACAAAATTTACTCTTAATTTCCATTGCTTTAAGTTTCATAGACTCTGTAACTATGTATAACAATAGACTAAACTAATATATGAAATGAAACCATCCACTGATATACTTTGTCCGTATTACTCATTTATGTTCCTGGAAAATAAGGTTGTGTGTATTACAAAAATAAATTTAGCCTGTGAAACTGATGTTCATAGGTAGTTTAATTTCAAAATAGAACTTTGCGAGACTAGAAATTAAGTTAATTTGTTTATAATATTCATCTAATAAATAAATATTCATTATCATTTGTATGCAATCAATAGATGATATTGGAAGATCTGGGACTATATTATTATATATTGCCTGAATAAGTTTATCATTTAATTTAGTATGATATAATGTGTTAAAACATTTTGTTTGGAGTCAAAGGCTTAGGTACCTACAAGTAGAGAAAAATCAGAAACAAACAGAATCTCAATTAACCTGAAAGTGTCACAAATGTTAATTATATTTAAAATTATGCCATAGGTTATGTATAGAAGTACAGGAATGCAACATTCTACTGACACTCGGAATGTATGTTGTTCTTTCTATGAACATACACATTGTCTGTGTGTATATCCAAATACAGAAAATCTTCTGTGTAAACCTTGTCTATTAATCTGTTATATATCACATAAGTTTACTTTATTACACTTTGAAAAATAAATTACTCAGAAACTGGATAAAAACAATGATCAGAGGACTCAGTCTGTTTGTTATGTTAATAATTGACTCAATGAAAATTAAAGCATGCATTACCAGATCCAATGATTGAAGAATTAAAAGAAAGAATGTAATTACCATAATTGGTGAAATATAATTGGAAGAAAACTTTTTACTATGACCTTGACATTATTTAAAAAGTGGTTTTAAAGACCTAAGTTCAGCTTTTGCAATATGGTCTCTATTTTATACCTTAGAAACATTAGAAGAACAGAGAAAAGCAAAATACCTGACTTGTACATTTCCTTAAATTAATCTCCCAGAGAAGGAAGCAAAGAAAATGTTCTTTTCTCCAAGGAAAATAATACAAAGTACCAAAAATAAAGCCATTTGCCCTTCCCAAGAGAAAAGCATGCCTGTGTTCAAATCAACCAATCTCTGTAATGTTTCCCAGTCGTTACAGCCATCATTGTGTACTCATTCTCTTAGGGAACAATAGAAAACATCACCACTATACCCACAGGGGAAGAAAGTAGGTCATCCTTTCGTTTTCAACTTTGCTTTATAGCATATATTGATTGTTATAGTTATTAGCTCAATTCATCTGATTTAATAATATTCAGCTTCAAATAACGTTTGATATATTTGTACCTCAAAAACTTCTTCATCCAAAATCCTGGTTCCAAAAACCGTGATTCCATTGGTGTCAACGATTGCTCTCTCACTTCTATCAAGTGGTTTTGTGGTTTTCTTCTTACAATCAACAATCATTGTCACAGTCTTCTTCTCCACGCTAATTGCGACCCGATGCCACCTAAAAAAGCCAATTCCTTTGTAAGCTTCAAAGATATTGTTGCCACACCATTACTCATTTTAAAATACAATGTATTGGGGCGCCTGGGTGGCGCAGTCGGTTAAGCGTCCGACTTCAGCCAGGTCACAATCTCGCGGTCCGTGAGTTCGAGCCCCGCGTCGGGCTCTGGGCTGATGGCTCGGAGCCTGGAGCCTGTTTCCGATTCTGTGTCTCCCTCTCTCTCTGCCCCTCCCCCGTTCATGCTCTCTCTCTGTCCCAAAAATAAATAAACATTGAAAAAAAAATTAAAAAAAAAATAAAATACAATGTATTTTAAATTGTGAAAGTGAGCTGAAAATGTACAAAAAGTAGGCTCATTTATTAATCAGTTAACAGGTGACGACTTACTGTTCACCCAGAATAGTGCTAGATACTAAAAAGGGTACAAGTGGTATAAAATGCACACCAGGGGTGGCTGTCTATGCTGATAAGGAAGTGCCCATCCTTTGCTACACTTTGTGTTGTTGCAACAAAAGCTTAATCTCACCATGTCCTGATGAGTATATGTGATAGAGATCAGGGGTGGGACATGAGGTAAGTAATAGTTTCTATGTACGTAAATGTTTTCTTCCAAAAGGAATTCCACTTAATTTTTTTGTTCTGTTTTTGCTCTAGAGATCCCCTGAGATGAACTGTAAAAGGGTATGTCTACTTATTGAATGACTGCTCCATCTGGAACAACTGAACGTTCTAATTGTAAAACACAATGTGCTTCTCTGTCTTTATTCACATTTATTTCAAGTGCTTTCGTTTTCTTTTTCCACTTTAATTTCAAGACAGTTATAGATCACTACTGTGGGCAGGATCCAAAACTGAGACACAATATCTCTCCTTCTTTCCAGGGTTGGCAGGAAGTGGGAACACTGAAAGAAAGCATAGTCAACGCATGTGTGGAATGAGAGTCTCAATTCACTCTGAAGCTACTGCTCCAGCTAATTCAGGGCAGCGATGACAGGCTTAGGGGGTAGACATGGCCAGCTCTGTGGAAACATATATACCCTAATCTTACTATAAAATGGTGGGTTTTATTAACACTATCTGGTGCTAACATAAACCACTAAGTGAACGTCATTTGGATTTTGCAAACCACTCTGCTTTATATATTTTTTTCCAAATGAAAAACGCTAGATTAATATTGCAGAAGTGTCTAGGATTACATCCATAAAATAAAGTACCTAAAAAGTTGCAGGAGCCTTCCTAAAATGTCTGTTTCATGTGACTTGGCATGGCTACTGATGAGGACCAAGTATATTTCCATATACACTTAATCTTTGGTCTTTCCATAGCACATTCAACTAGCATAGGCGTCTGCGTAGTTTGAATCAAGCAAAGATTTATTTTGGAGCCACTTAATACTGTGAGAGTAAAATTTACACATATTTCTGCCAAGAAGCCTGTGTCTTAACTTAAACCATCTCCACTATTGTAAGTATGTGCTTTTCATTAACAGAAAATAAAAATGAATTCAATTGTTAAAAGTTGATTAGGACTCTAAACTTGACCTTATTGTTGATTAATTTCAGCTCTGATAATAATGATATGTCATAATCATGGTATCATATATAATTATCAAAATATGAAACCATTCTTAATTATTCTTTTTTGTACACAGTACATTCACATCATCAGAAAATCTTTTACTCAGTGTATATACAGAATCCAGTGTGTCTCAACTACCCAATCTGGAAGCTCTCTCATCTAGACTCCTTAATGGTCTCTGCTTCCACTCTCATGCAACTGTGTAGTGACCATTTTAACTTTATTTTTTTTTTCAACGTTTATTTATTTTTGGGACAGAGAGAGACAGAGCATGAACGGGGGAGGGGCAGAGAGAGAGGGAGACACAGAATCGGAAGCAGGCTCCAGGCTCCGAGCCATCAGCCCAGAGCCCGACGCGGGGCTCGAACTCACGGACCGCGAGATCGTGACCTGGTTGAAGTCGGACGCTTAACCGACTGCGCCACCCAGGCGCCCCAGTGACCATTTTAAAACACAAGTCAGATAAAGTCTCCTTGCTAATAACAAGGTATTATTCCCAGTAAAGCTGAAGTCCTTACTCTGCCTCACAGGAATGTCCTCTGGCCCGCCGACCTCACGCCCAACTTTTGCTTTCTCGCTCCCTACACTCCAGCCACATTGCTGCCTCTTTGCGGTCCTTTGCACATGCTCTTCACTTAGCCAGAAGTGCTCTTCCTCCCTATCCCCACATGGCTCGCTCCTTCACTTTCAACATGCCTTTGCTCAGTGCAACAATATCAAAGAGATGCTTTATTGAAAACAGCATCCCCTTAAATTCCTTACCCTGATTTATTGTCATAGCATCATTTTTCATATTCATTATTAAGGACAGTATTTAAATTGCTCATAAAAGCCTAGTTTTTCCTGCCACTAAGATGAAGTTTTCTCCATGGTGCTGACAAAGATACATTGAGCGTGGATTTTTTTTCATCTGCATGGCCATTTCCTTCCTACATTTATGACTAAATGTCATATTTCAGATCAGGCTAATTTTAGAAGCCTAGATTCAGCAATAAAATGCCAAGTAAATTTAGCAAACATTTATTTGTATTTAGCTGTTCCCTAAGTGAAAGGCAATGTTCACAATGCAGAATTCAGGATGATTTTCAGAAGAGTATGATGGTTACTATCGAGCCTAACTACCTCCGCCACTTTGAAAATATATGATCTCAGGCAAGTTACTTACACTTTCTGTGCCTCGGTCCCCTATTCTGTAAAATGGGTTTATTAACATTATTTTCTTCAAAGAGTTGTGCAAATTAAATGACTTGACTACGTATAAAGTGCTTCAAACAGTACATAGCCCATATCAAGCATTATGAAAACTTCTTATGATTGTCAATATTAACATGCTTGAAAAAAAGGCAAGTCAAGTCAGGTCATTCCTCTGCTCAAAAAGTCTACAGTGACTTCCCATGTCACTCAAGATAGAACCCAAAGTGTTAGACCCATCGACAAAGCGTTATACCATTTGGCCTCCCATGGCTCATCCTCATCATCCCACTCTGCTCCTGCCACGTGGGTATCCTTGACATTGCTTAGACAAATCAGCCACACCTGGAATCAGAGGCTGTGTATTTGCTTCCCCTCCTCCTGGAATAGTATATACTATTAGTTAGTATAATTAGTATACTATTAGTTAGTATATAATAGTATATACTATTAGCAAGGCATGCACCCCCGATTCTTCACCAGTCACCTTCTTAGTGAGATTTTCCCTGATCTCAATCCTTAAAATTGCACCCTCCACCACCATCTCCTATCTTCCTTGTTGTCTACCCAGACTAAAAGAAACTATGTGCAATTAGGTATTTTATTGTTTTGTTCATTGCCGTATCTCTAATCTCTAGAAAAAACTGCTTCATACTTTATGAATATTTGTTGAATGGTTAAATGAGATAATTGCTTTCAACATGGTGAAAACATTGAATTATTATGTTACTTACTTCCCGTCAGCGATGTTAACGGTTCTGAAGAGGGGATAGTCTTCAGGGGCAGGTTTTCCAGTGTGGTCTTCAAACAGGAAAACAGGTGATCTCCCAACCTCAACACCGACTTGCTGAATACCATGCTCATTATATATAGATAAAAGGAAAGACTGAATTCCTTTTTTGGGTTTTATTGTAAATAATATTGAAAAATCTTCTGGAAAAGTTCCTCCTGAGAAGAGAAGGCCAAAGGCTCAGGAATGTCAAATTCCCAAATTATTCCTGGATCACCCTAATTTTTTAACTTCTTAGGTGGCCTTAATGAGTCATGCTGATTAGAAGGGGCACATGCACCCCAATGTTTATAGCAGTGCCATCAACAATAGCCAAATTATTAAAAGAGCCCAAATGTCCATAGACTAGTCAATGAATAAAGAAGTGGTGCGCGCTCTCTCTCTCTCTCTCTCTCTCTATATATATATATATCTATATACACACACACACATACACAACGGGATATTACTTAGAGATACAGAAGAATGAATCTTGTCATTTGCAACAACATGGATCAAGCTAGAATGTGTTATGCTAAGTGAAATAAGTCAAACACAGAAAGAAAAATATCATATAATTTCACTCATATGTGGAATTTGAGAAACACAACAGATGAACATAGGGGAAGGGAAGGAGAAACAAGATAAAAACAGAGAGTGAGGCAAACCATAAGAGACTCAAACACAAAGAACAAACTGAGGGCTGCTAGAGGGAGGTGGGGAGGATGGGTTAAATGGGTGATGGGCATTGAGGAGGGCACTTGTTGGGAAGAGCACTGGGTGTTACATGGAAGTGATGAATCCTGGGATCTACTCTGGAGACCAAGACTATATACTGTGTGCTAACTCACTTGAATATAAATAAATTTTAAAAAACAAGTCATGTAAATTCAAACAGTAATAACAACACAGATTAAAAAACAAATGGGAAAGGGACAATAATAAGCTTTCTCTGAAATAATTGTCCAAGCTATATTCAAATTTTAAACGTGCTCATTTAAAGCACAATGACTATGTAGAATTCAACTCAAAGTTAGGAAACAATATCAATCATTTTGCCAGTACAATAGTAAATGCACAATAAGAACTTTTAAAATAAAAAAATACCACTTTGATCTAAGATTTGTATTTTCAGGCTTCTCTAATCTGTGGCCATACACCCTCTCTTTAAAGAGGCATCGCAAGCACACGATATATGAAGGTATTTTTTTGTCATCCATTAAAAGCTAAAGAGTTTCTCATCAGTTTTTCCTATCACACAAAAGGCAATTTCACCAATAAAAAGCTTATAGCATTACAAATCTGAACTATCAGATACTTGGTTAATTTGATTCTAAATTCAAGAGGGCAAACTGTCTTTTTTTTTTTTCTTTTCCCTCTTACCACTATACTCTAAATATCCAGCATGGGGCCAGATCTACCTAGGTGCTTAGTAAGTATTTATTAAGTAAACACATCAGTTAAATGACTATCACAAATATTTCTCAGATAGTTAAGCAATGGCTGCTTGTATATGTTTTATAAAAACATTGCATGTTAAATTTTGCATTTTACTCTTCAACAATACTTTTACATATATATCTTATTTGAGCCTCTATCTACCCTGGAATAGAAGTAAAACAGGCATTATAATTCAAAGGATGAGATTATTTCAGTTAAAAAGTTTCCCGTGTGCAAAACTCGTGTTTATGTGCGTGTGTAATCAGTGATATCTAGGACAACACCAGGAGCTTCCATATTCAATCCATTCGTTCTAAATTCTATTCTACACGGTAGTATAAAATAATAAAAATACTCTGAATATGACTGCCACGGATTCAAATTCAAAAGATTATAGGACACCAGCAATTCTAAAACTTTATTGGAATAGGAGAAATGTTTGTGTGTAAAGGTATCTTACATCAATTCACCAAAACACTATTTATAATCCTGAAATATTAAAATAGCCTGTAATGGTTGGGACAGGCTAAATAACATATAAAACATCTGCATATGCAGTGTTTGTAGACACTTAAAGTAGTAGGAGACATTTTACGAAATTGGAATTATTTAAAATGTGGAAATTAAATAAGAGTATGTCACAGAGAAAGCAGTCAATTAATGTTAGGTATTTGGTTCTATAATATCTACTTATATCTGTATGTATTTCTATATCTTTATCCATACGTATCTATATCTACATAGATAAATAGGTATCTCCAAACTAAAAAGTTATTTATTAAAAATTATTAATTTTATTTTTAAAAATAATTTACCAAACAACTTTGCCATATCACAAGTAGGTCATAAAAGCTCTGCTATCACATCAAAAATTATTTAAATATAGATATAGTTTTGTTTCATTTAGATGTCACAAAGACATCCAATTTTATTTGTATATAAATCAACAGAAGAAAGATAATCATATAAATAAAATGGAAAAGTAATAAAACATTAATTAATAAAACATGTTTTACCTGCTTATACTATAAATAAAAATCTAGGTAGGTAATCAGCCTGCTATTGAAGAAGCTCCATGGCCAACTTTTTCTTCAAATAAGTAGCTCAGAATGTTGAGAATCACAGGAATTCTTTCCCTAAATGTACCTCAATTTTTCAAATATCTCCTACATTGAAAAAAAAAGATGCTAAAATATTATGAGCTAGGGGAAAACAATTATTTTTTTTTCCATTTTTGCAAAACCATCATGAATTAATGTCTACATAGAGACATTTAGGGAAAAAAGAATTCCAGGAAAGAATATATTCATATAAGATTAAATAAGTTATAACAAATTATAATTAATGATCCAATTTGTACAGAACGACTTTTGAAACTGTCATGTGCTAACCACTAATGAGTAAAATCTTTCAATTATATAAGTATTTCCCAATTAAAAAAAATTAATGTTTATTTTATTTTTGAGACAGAGAAAGACAGAGCATGAGTGGGGGAAGGGCAGAGAGAGAGACACACAGAATAGGAAGCAGGCTCCAGGCTCTGAGCTGTCAGCACAGAGCCCAACGTGGGCTCTTGACAACCACAAGATCATGACCTAAGTGGAAGTCGGACGCTCAACCGACTGAGCCACCCAGGCACCCCAAAGTATTTCCCAATTTCAAATTAGGCAATAAGATTATAATTATAATCTTTATGCTATGACATTTGAAAAAGAGAATTTAGCTACCTAAAAAATCATGACTTGATGTCAAAATATTCAGTCTAACCTAGGCACCCCACCTTAGTTTCTTCCCTATAAAACACTAAGCAAAACTGTCCATAACTGACTAAATGTATCAGAGAGAATTCATTATATTACTTCAACAACAGGAATGCAACCACTTACTATGTGAAATTTTATCTCAAATAACAGTGATCAGTATACATGATAAAATAAAATGTGAAAATTTTCAACTTAAATAATTTGTGTTTTGAAGTGTATAAATGTAAAGTAAAAGCATCCACTCTGTTGAATGACTGCTGTTAAAGAAAAAATACTATTACTACTTTTGATATGCATGTAAACATAAAATCATACATATATAATAATCATAATTCACACTGAATATATCAAATTCAATACTGATTCTTAAAATGGGCTTTTAATATCAATAGATAGTACATGCATAAATAAATTTTATATAGAAAAGTCACAAAATTTCATTATTTGATTTTAATTTTCTCAAATTGTGGTTAATATATTTCCATGTGTCATATGTCTCCCTTTAACTAAAATACCTTTTGATGTAGCTTGGTGGTCAGCAGGATTTTGAAAATGAGGAGGGAAGGCCATTTTTGCATAGTGAGAAAGCTCACTTAATCTAAAAGAGACAGAGACTGTCTCTCAGCTTCACATCATTCACTGGTTCTGTGATTATATTGAAATACTTTACATTTCTAACACCTAATCCATCACTTGGGCTTAAATAGTCTTCTCTCCAGATGGATATGAAGATAAAGATCAATATACACAAAGTTTCTTGTATAGCATCTGTCCCACAGCAGGTGTTCTAGAGAAGGCAGATAGAACTTGTAAATTATAGCTTCTATTCAGGTCACATGTACAGTGTTCTCAGACAGTTAAATTAAAGGTCTCAAATAAGGACTTTAGAGGGCATGTACCTTAATTAAACAGAATTTTGCAGTGACCATCTGATAACCCTTCAGCCCCACCCCAATATTGAACTTTCCAATACTACTACTTACTTTTTTCATTAGAAAAGAAGTCGCTATTATGTCTTCCCATAATGGAAGAAAGAGTATTCCAAATAATTTCTCAAAGATCTTTTTTACTCATTTGATAAAGAATAATATTCATTGTTTGGATGTTTTTAACTATGAAAATGTCACTGATCATTTTTATTAATTGCCGTTTTGCATTGTTTGACAGGAAGCTTTACCCAAATGGAAGATTAAGTTTAAATTCACTTGCGTGGGACGGGCAGATGAGGTCTCTATCAGAGGAGTCTCTTCCTATCTGAAATAACTGTTTTGAGAATTATGTGCCTAAGTCACAATATTGTGAGAAGGGGGAAAAAAAAACCTTCAGTATAAATGAATATTGTTAACTCTCATGAAAGGAGAGCCCAGAGGCATACATTATATTCTTTTCCACGGATAACAGAAATGATTGGATTAATCAAACTAACTACCAATTTGGAAGGCACAAAAACTGACCCTGAAGCGATGAACCAAAATATAAAAAATTAAAAATTAACTTTTTGAGTATTTCTAAAGCTTTTCCATTAATGTATTTTTCCCTGTTTTTTTTTTCTCTTGACAATTCCCATCCCTATCCTATTTCTGCATTGGAGTGCAGATAAATAGAAAAGCAACATTATTTTTACATTTGCAGCTTTTAAATTAGATTTTTAACATACTTTTATGGATTTAATAACTATTTTAATTTTTAATTCCAAAGTCAGAAAAATTGTGCATTGACATTCTTTGTATTTGCGGATTGTTGCTTTTGTCCATCACAAAGGATTGCAAAACAAGAAATATTTGGGAAAGATCAATGAATTGATCAAAATAAATGTGTTTGCAAAAATACTTTAAAATGTCCATCCATGAAAAATATATTACCTTGTTTTGTAGTTAGTCCCTTGATTTCTAATTTTTCTATTGTTAGAAAATAGTTTTTTGTGAAAAGAGATAATTCAAATCCCTTCAGGTAGGGACAGTGGAGAGGATTATATGAAGAATTTAAATGATAAATTGTTTTGGGGTGCCTGGGTGGCTCAGTCAGTTGAGCATCTGAATTCAGCTCAGGTCATGATCTCGCAGTTCGTGGGTTCGAGCCCCATGTCGGGCTCTGTGCTGACAGCTTGGAGCCTGAAGCCTGCTTCAGGTTCTGTGTCTCCCTCTCTCCGCCCCTCCCATGCTCGTGCGCTCTTTCTTTGTCTCTCTGTCTCTCAAACATAAATAAACATTAAAAAAAAAATAAACAATAAATTATTTCTGAGAGGATTCCAAAGCACTAAAAAGAAACACTTGATAGTATAGTGAATATTGGCTTTGGCAACAGACAAGACCTGGATTAAATCAAGACCCCTCGTAATGTGGACAAGTCCAAGAACCTGAGTGAAACTCTATTTCCTCTTCCATCAAATAAGGATGGGAACACTCAATTCAGTACAGTTGTAAGAAAAAAATAACTGATGTGTGCAACAGCAGACTTGTAACAAGTTACTGTTTTGACTATGTGACACTCAGAAATTGTCAGCTCATCACTCAACTCCCTTTCCCTACATTATCATGATTGCAGATAATTAGTGTTATCAGGTTAATCAATACTTTCATGGAAAGAAATAATATTCACCAGGTATTTTTCAATACCATTACAAAAACTTTCCAGGTAAAGGTTTACAAACTCTCTAAACCCAGATCTCCTTATAACTGTGACATGGGGCTTTTACTCTATTTAAGAGAAGAACAGGATCCCAAAATAATACTGAATTATCTGTTTTATAATATATTCTAAAGAAGTATTTCTTTCAACAGAAACTTAAATTAATTTCATAAAGACACTCACTAAGTATTTCTAAATCCACATGCCCATTCAAGCCACATGGGTAGTCATTATGGGTAAAACTGCCATGTTATCCAGTGAATAAATTCTATAGGATTATATGCAGAAATGAGCTAGATATAATGTTGTTTTCAATTTTTATCATCTGGAAATAAAATGATAAATTATTAAATTTTCAAATAAACATATCTTCTGTGATTGTGTTGAATTAAAACTGGCAATTATCAAATCATCAGTTATTTCCATTAAGTCACCTTAGTGACCACAACGTATTCAGTGTCCTATATAGGAAAGAATTATATCTGCCCCAATAATTGTGCATTATACAGCATGATAAAAAGACACAAAATAATTAGCAAAGTAGTGACAGTTCTAGTAATAAAGTGAACCTACCTGAAAATAATTGTTTTGTTGGAGCACTGAGTTGTGCTTGCTTTGAAACTCTGTAAGCAGTATCCGAACCTTTTGAATTCTTTCTGTTTGTGCAAAAGCCCATTGTTTTTGATATTCCCTCTGGAGAATTGTGAAAATCTAGAACTTTTAGTACATCGACTGGAGCAGCTGAAAAATAAATTAAAGGCAAAAAAAATTGAACAAATAATCTAGCATAAAAATGAGTATTTTTAAAAGAGAAAACTGTTTATTATTCTACTCTCAAATCTGTCACTTAACACATCTCCCTGTTATCTGGGTAGGAGACTGAGAAGTGGGGCAGCAGGTAAAATATAAACTAAAAAATTCTCAATGCAAAATATCTCAAATCAAGAATATATTTGTGGAAAAGCAAACAGAAGATATTCATATTTTGGGGGGGATAAGCAGATTTGGAATTGAATATATAAAATATTTGTTACCTGGTATATATTATGTATTTAATATATAATAGAATATATGTAAATTTACAATCTGATGCATCTCCATTACAATTTATAAAGTCTTTAATCATTCTAAGTAATTTCACTATCTGGAGTTAAAGTGAAGGCCAGCATCTGGACATATTCCATTAATTTCTAATAGATTTACTATTCAACTATTTATAAGATACATAAAGGTGATTTTCATGGTTCAAATTCACAATGAACGTTATACATAATGATTGCAAAATGTGCAGTTACTAAGCCATATTGCACACACAAAGTTAAAAGTTGTTAAAAAGAATAGGTAACAAAACATGCCTATATTCTATTGACTTTTTGTCTTTGTTCAAAAATAAAAATATTCAGAGAAGGCTATGTGTTGGCCAATGTATTACTGAGCATGTCTGAGACATAAGTCCTTACTGCAAGTATATAGGTTCTAGTTCAGAAGTAAAAGAGATCACTTCTACCAATAGAAGTGAACCAATATTATTGATTTGAAAAGTTTTGATGTCAGTTAAAAAAACAAAACAAAACAAAACGGAATTTCTATCAAATTTCAAAATATGCTGGGATTTATAAATATATTGTTTCTGGAAGGACTTAATGAGAATGGGAATAGGACTGATTTTAGAATCAGAAAATATCATCACAATTCATCACGATCCATAAAGAGTGACCTGTAATGGGGTGCTGTTCTTTGAAAATTATGATTTCAGAGTGCCTGAGTGGCTCAGTCAGTTAAGCAACCAACTCTTGATTTTGGATCAGGTCATGATCTCACAGTTTGTGGTTTCGGGTCCCATGTCAGGCTCTGCAATGACAGCACAGAGCCAGCTTGGGATTCTTTCTCTCTCTCTCTCTCTCTCTCTCTCTCTCTCTCTCTGCCCCTCCCCAATTTGTGCATGGGCATACACTCACACTCTCTCTCTCTCTCTCAAAATAAATAAACTTTAGGAAACTCTAAAAAATAAAATTATTATTTTTAACTATTTTTTTTATAATAACCACCAGTTCATTACAGAATACATGAATGAATGAATGAGTGCTTGTGAGCACTGTATACTTGGTCATTTCCTTAGTTAATTAAATTTTAGGGGCATTTACTTCCACATGTACAAATATATGTGGATGAAGGTTTCTATAATTTACCTTTTAGAGTATAACAAGTGTAATTTCCTTTAACAATACTCTGTATACCTATTTTATCAAGCCTCTGAGTGAAAATCAACATACTATCCAGTATAGGGCACATTCTTCCAAATTATTAAAAAAGAAGAGAAAAATATTCTCTTTATGGAAATCAGACAATTCAAAGGGATCATCAACTCTACCAAATATGACACTCTCTAGTTTAGCCTTGGAATACTTAAAAGAATAACAGCATTCAAGAACATTTGTGCTGTAGTCCTGCTTGTGATGGTCAATTATTTTAGGCCCATAGGGATACTGGACGTTCTTAACTTTCTTTTCTCTTATCATAAAGTAAAAAAGAAAGTTATAATATTTTTAAATTTTTAATAATTTCTATTTTTTGAGGGAGGGAGCATGCAAGTGGGAGATGGGGCAGAGGGACAGGAAGAGAGAATCTTAAACAGGCCACATGCTCAGCACAGAGCCCGATGCAGGGATTGATCCCACAACCCTGGGATCATGATCTGAGCTGAAACCAAGAGTTGAGACTCTAACAATTGAGCCACCCAGGCGCCCAAGAAAGTAGTCATTTTTAATAGCTTTCATGTCTAGAAAGCCTAATATGTGCCAGTCACTAAGCTAAGCTCTTTATAGACTTTTCGGAGCATATGTTCTTATCCCTACTGTGCAGATGAAGGAATTGAGAGCCAGAAAGCAAACTAAGGATACTCCTGAGATCTGGGCAAACATCAAATCTAGGCTCTTTCCACTTCACCACCTTCATTGCTCTACCCCATAAACAAAAACTCTGTAAAAGAAAGTTAAAACATAAATATAAATATACAATTATCTTGAGACAGTTAATTGATTCCTGATGTTTATATTTGCTTTAAATTAAACTCAATTTATGTTTCAGGGTCTAAATTCCTCTTAAAGAGACTATTTATAAAATTCATAGCATCTTATCTGCTTATTTTGTCTTATCTTCTTGCTCTGAGGCCATTAGCAAAAGTACATCTGAATAGGGTAAAGACTCAAGGACAGACATGAACACAGCTGTGAAGGCTGTAATTCTATGAAGAAAATGATGCAGTCCCATGGTCATGGTCCCAATTGCTTATGGGCAAATAATAACTAAAATAAACTGCACATGCCACCTCTCCAAAATATCTTTCCACAGGATGATATTTTCCAAGAGTACAGATTTTGTCACACGTGCTTCTTCCTACTTTGAAATAGTGTGATAAAAACACATTCCCTCTATAGGATTCAAAATAAGAGCTCTATTTTTAAAGCCTCACAAAATTCTTTATAGAGACGCATTATATGAAATAATTCATTCTTCAAAAATCAATTAAAAATAGGGACAAGTAAAAACCTAGATTTCAACTAGGTTTTTTTTGTTTTTCTAAAAAGGCATATCAAGGGGCACCTGGGTGGCTCAATTGGTCAAGCGTCCCACTTTGGCTCAGGTCATGATCTCAAGGTTAGTAGGTTCAGTACAGAGCCCACTTAGGATCTTCTGTCTCACTCTCTCTCTGCTCTTCCCCCCCATAACTAAACATTTTAAACAATAAAATAAAGATAAAAAGGCATATCAAGTTACAAAAAATGTAAAACCTGGTTAATCAAGTTTTAAAGTTTTTCCCTTCAAGCAAACTAAATAATAAATTAAGCCACTTTGAAATCTGCCTGCTATTTGATTTCATAATCATAGCATTTAACAAATTCTCATAATAAGAATTCCATGGTTTTATACATACACACATACACATATACATATACACACACAGAGAAATGCTTCTTCATATTTTATTAACTGAATTGCAATTGTTTAAATATTAAAAGCAGTAATTTGTTATAGCTTAACTTGATATATCTAAAAAAGCAAAATTTCCATTTTCAAAGCAATTCTTAAATGCCCTTTATATTTGAATTGTTTTCTTGTTGCCAATAGCTGATGACATAGATCATGATTAGAATTTCAGATGTACCCAATCAGCACAATATTTTGTTAAACAATGTTTTTCCTGCCTTTTATTGTATACTGTTGCAGTTTATTAAATGGGAGAATAAGATATCAGAGCCCAGTGCATTACTACAATAGCCATTTAACTGGTTTCCATGTCTTTTCTAATCATTCTACATACCACAACTTGAGCAAGTTTCCAAAACACCAGGCTTTATGTCACTCTGCTGCTTAAATTCCTTCAGTGAACCCAGTAACTTCTGGATGGTATGCACAGAACTTGCATATAAAATCCTGAAGATCTGAACACATCCATTTGTCCTGCCTGTACCACCCCTAGTGTGGTATGCACCTCCATCATTTGTTTTTTTGGTTTTTTTTCATTGTCATTTCCCCTAACTCCTTCCTCATTCAGCACTGTAGCTATACTGAACTCAGACTTGCCAGAACCTCTCATCTTCTTTCTCCTACCTCTGGGCCCTTGAAGCCCATTTCCCCTGTCTGAAACACTTAGCTTCACTTCACCTGAGGAATACATACGACATAAGTCATGTGTAATCTGCTCCAGAAAGCATTTCCTATCTCCCAAAACTCATTTAGATATATGCTTACCTTTATTATAGCACTTTTCATCCTTGGTTTTAATTTTTGCATATACTTAATTTTTTTTTTCTTTACTAAAACTAGAAAAGAACAGATATGTATACATACACATACACACACGTACATGAGCTCTATAAAATACTGGTTGAGTGTGAAACATGATAACGTGAAAATACATAGAAGCAACTTTCTCTGAAGTCCACAGGGCTCTCTTGTCTTGAAACAAAAAATTTGAGGGCCTACTATGTCTTTTTTATTATGTTCTGCTGATCTCTTAAACATCCCGACTCATTCATTGATTAGTCTGTCCCAAGTCTTTAATCTTTTCCCTCTGTTGCCTTCAGTGTCCACATGGATTACTGATGTAAAGGCTCACAATGCTTTGATTGTTTCATCTCTAATTAATTCCTCCTCTAAACTTCACATACTCCCATGACCAGTAAGGAGTAGATGACAGCAATACATAGTGTTGAAGAACTGGGATTGCTCTGAATCCCACCCCTGGCACTTAGCATATGTGTGATTTGGACTCAGTATTTAACTGCTTTGTCCTCAGTTTCTATATCCGTAAAATGAAAATAATAAAAATATTTACCTAAGTTTATGAGCTGGCATTTGTGACAATGCCTTAGCACAGCAGCAGGAAAAATTATGCCTGTGGGATAAGACCTTTCTGACTATTTTTGCAAAGGTACATGACATAAGAATGTTTTTTTTACATGGCTAAAAAAATTAAAAGAAGCATAATTTTGTGGCACGGGGGAATTATACGAAATTTAAATTGCAGCATCTACAAATAAGAATTTTATAATACTATAGCTACACCCAATCACTTATATGCTGTCCATAGCTGCTTTTGCCCTACAAGAGTTGTATAGCTGTGATAGAGACTGTATAGCTAACAGTAGCTGAAATATCTACCATGTGGTCCTTTTAAGCTGAGTCCTAAAGGATGGGTAAAAGTTTATAAGCCAAGAGGAGGGTGACAGAAATATCAG